CCGCACTGCCCTCCGGATGATGCAGAGTATTACACTTCGCTGCCGCGCTGTCGGCCACATGATTACCGTGATCGATCGCACCACTTGCCTGCGCCCTCTCACTTCTGATTGTTCTCCAAGGCTTAGTAAATGACTTGCTGACCCTGATGCTTTATTGACGTAAGCGCTGCACAGTGCACGCGCGCCGGTCGGACGTCCGAAGCGTACCAGCGCGTCTCTTTAGGTAACTGACAAGTTGTCCTCAACCAGAAGAAACAAAACTGCAGTAGTGAAGGGTACAGCTAACTTGTAAGGAGCAGTATTCGGAGAGGTTGAGAAAGGTTCAGAAGACTCCGTGACTTCGATTTTTACCACACAGATGCACCTCTTGATAAGCTGCTGCGTTCGAATGAGAGCTTACTGAACCAGTTCATGATAATGAACATGGAACGCTTGTACGTCCTCATTGAGCGTCACCTCAACCTGGTACAGAGGTGCAAAAGAGTAGTGCATGGAAACCGCATGCAGTCGCACCTCAACGGACGGAGGACGTCTACGGTGCCTATTTAAAGCGACGACCTTTCCATCTTTGAACTGCTCAAGCCAATTTGTGGTGCTCCGAAGAGGCTTTGTTCCTTGACCATGTCTGCCTCTGCACATTTAACACTGATGGAGAGCAAAATGTCACATTTATTTTGATGAGGATCCTACGCACGCTTGTGTGGCATGCCCAAATCCAAGGTACGCGGACCTCCCATCTTCTCTGGAACATTCACTGTTTCTTGAAGTTGTGGAGCCAAATATGGATATGGCTCGAAAAGTGACCCCCTGAATATAGCACAGGTTGATTAAAATTGTTTGCTCAAGGCAGTCATAGGTAAGAACGTGGTGGCGCAAAAATTGGTTTAGTATGGTTCGCAAAGGCATACCAGTTGTACCAGATTATATGAAAGGCACCATGATCGCTTACAAGTATTTAAGCTAGAGTTGAAGCGGCAATGACGAGCCTTGTAAAAATTCCTTACAAGAGGTTCTGAAGTGGGGCGTTAAGGCACAATACTGCTCGTGATTCCGTGAAAATGTCAGTGACTCTGTTCACTCGCTCCACTTGTCTAGTATCTCGCTTGAGATTCACCTCAGTTCTTCGTCTTTCGCTTGGGATAGGGGGAACCCTTGAGACAGTTTTCTCTGCTTTGTTCTTCACTGAAAACTCATCTAGCACATGCCCTTCTGTTTACGACCCACTTCGCTGCCAACTTTTCGCCAGCTCATCGCGAACTCTGTCTTACAATTAGAAACATCCACAGCGCTCAAAAATTCGTAAGATTCCTTAAGTGTTGTGGTAGTATGGTCCGCACCCTCTGAGATTATCCCACCTTAGCAACTTCGCAGTTAGCAACAACGGTGCTGCGGCCCTCATAGGTGGCAGTTCTGACACCCTACTATTTGTACCGCCCAACGAGAACTTCCTACTTGCACTTAACGCAGTGGCTCATTTGTTGTTTGATGGAGCGGCGGGCATAAATCTGAGTCGCGTGTCCATTTTTGCTCACGGCGCGCGTGTTCATGAGCAGTTCCGCCCTCTTTTACTACTTTTCCCACAAGGAACGCTTATAGTAACAACCAATCTTTCTCGCAAGGCAAGACTCGTTGATTTATCTGCATAATTGCACGGGTGCAATAGTTCGTCGGACAGCGCCCAAACCCAGTTTTGTACAGAACGAACTCGAAGACTACTTTCTGTCACGAGTTTCGTTTCTGAGCCATGTTTTTGGTATTTAGCGCTGGATGACGCGAAGAAATGGTTAGTGAGCCAAGGATAGCTTAGGAGGATAATTTTTCCTGAGGGCACAGCTGATCCTCCGTCCGTACATGTGACGTTTTCATGCTTTCTGGTCCTACAGCTTCGCCTTTCACTGAGAGGGGGACCTCAATGGCGGCGTCTGAAGGCGGAGTCACTGGAGAAAAGGAGGCATCACAGAACTTGTACTGTGCTGTAGCATCCTTCCTTAAAATTTTTTTGCCGTGAAACCGATAAAAGGTTGTTCGTCGCGGACCACACCACTCTTCCGACGCCATATTTCGACTTCTATATCTGATTGCGGACCATGCCTTCAAATTTCTCCTGGTGGCAGGGCGTGCACTGTGTATAATAAGCCACTAAGTGTAGGACCGGAATTATTCGAAAAACTACAGTACTTAGCTTCGTTGCAGGTACTCAGCTGTGTTGCATTGCATGCCTTCTAAGCTGGCCTAAATTTACATGCGCTCGATTTTGGATTCTGAGTGAACGGGCGATATGCATTCGTTAAAAAACGACTATGATACGATTCTGGACAGTCTTTCTGCCTTTTAGTGGGGTTCAGTATGCATATGCCTAGCATTACCTTTTCGTTCCTACTTGCTACATGGATAGAAACTTTTGGAAGGATTTACATCAACTTGAGGGAAGGTAAATTGGTATTTTCAAGCACGGAATGAGGGAAATAGGAAGATATGATATGTGTTAATGTTTTGCGGTTCCTGCTTTGATTTCTCGTGATACAAACGGTAAGGCGCTGTTGAACTACTCCTACCACAACACCTCAAAATTTTTTGTTCGTGGATACATTGTCACAGATGTTATCCGATGTACTGATCACGAATATGACATTCATTCCTGGCGCTGGCGCCATTTAGCGCTATACACGTTGTTTTGTTTGTTTCAAACCTTTTCTTCCCGAAAGTGATAAAAACTCGGTAATAGCCAGGCGGTTTCGGGCGGAGCGTATGTGATATTCGTGTTAGGAGGCGATCGAAGTGCCTCGAAAGCAGTTTTGGTCTTACGCAAATCTTTGATTTTGCAGAAAAGGTCGCTAAAGACCGGTGTGATTTCGGGAGATTGTGGTAGGAACAGTTCAATATGCCAAAGTTATTTACCCGCCCATTTCCATTTGATTTTTTCAGGGGTTAATCTAGATCCATACTAAGCAACAGGACATAAACAGCTCAACGCCTTAGCGACCGAGTACGTATTCTAGCCTAAGGTCACTGAATGAAGCAATCAAAAATGATCGAAGTTTTAGAATGGATCCTGGGCTATTCAGGATCCATTCTAAAACTCCGCATATCGTTATAAGCTTAAACTTTCTAATGTCCACATAACACTTCCTTAGCTGGTCTCGTGGAAAATTGCCTTCGCATATATATCCGGCACTGAAACCTACAATTTATGGGTCGCAGGTTGATAAACTATCTTCTTCACTATCCATAGAAACGTAATTCAACACATCCTCTAAAATTCAGGATGACAGGCAACACGCCGAAATCAGGCCATTGAAAATACTGAAATAGCATGCCGCAGAGTTACGTAGACTGGCTTCCTGCAACGAAGCTGAGTACTGTAGTTTTTCGAAAATTCCGGTCCTACACTTAGTGGCTTATCTGTGTATAGTATACTCATTATAAATTTTCTTTGAAGGAGGAAGCCATCAGTGCAGGGCACAGCATTCGATGGGGATTTTGGTCGAGCCTGTACGACCCCCCCCCTTTTTGGGGGTTCGGTACGACCCCCCCCTTTTTTTTACTGTTTGACGTTACATACTTCCTGAAATTAGATATAAACAATTAGATATAAAAAAATAGATATAAACAGTCCTACCTAAGTTGAGTTGATTTACTTATGTGCAAGCGTTTGTAATCAAAAACAGGATGAGTAGCATAAACACAGCATAAATGCGAGTTAAATGAGACTATGACTAAAACGAAAAAACAAAAAGCGGCATAACAGAAAAAAAAAAAAAGAAATGCGCTAAAAATGCATTAACCCGAGATGTGGAGTACGGTAGCAGAAATGTGTATGTAATTGCAGCCGTGACTGGAGATTATTCGTCAATTTTAGCACTGGAGCGCGAACTTTCAGCAAAGTGGGGTGTCTTTGAAGGACCATAACTTCCTCAAAAGCGGACCTGTGGGGAAGAGGAGACCGTATTCGTGTAGAGGAAGGTTTGCACTTCCTAAAAGTACTGAAAGTTTATGAAGGTCGCAAAAATCACAGAGAAATCTGCCATGGGGATTCGTTGGGGAGTGATTTCAACTGAACAGGTTTGAATCAATATATTTTTTTGTAACTCAACATTTCACAAATCTGAGAACGGTTTCGAGTGTTTGAAGATTTTCTCTTTCTAAAAACCTCTTGAACTGTTTCTGAAGTTCTCGGGATTCATGAGATCTCGCTATGGGGATTTCTTGGGGAACACTCCCAGCTGCGCGAAAAACCCGTTTCCTGTGTACCGTTTCAAGTGAGCGTGTTCGAATAACCAGGAACGCATGAAAGAACGTATCCCTGGTGGAGCAGGAGCAGAATATGGTTCGTTTAGCGCCGATCACGCTGACTTTGGATGCGCCGCGCACTGAGGTCCGCGCAGAGGTGAAGGGATGGTGCAATTTGTGCGTAATGTCTGTCCACGCGAGCAAATGTGTCTATAGGATTCAGGGAGATCCATGGCGAACCTGTGCACTTGTTTACAGTGTTTTCCGTTGATGGAGCGTGTCTGTGTCGACGCCGCCAGATGTGTGCTCCGCCAATTGCTGTCTCCGATAAAGGAGACCAACTGCTGGAAAACGTCTGGTACGAACGATATGGTAGTCCTGTCGTTTGTTGAAAAAAGAGGTTGGCTCAGCGCCAAGCGTAATCGCGGACACGCCCCATCATCCGCAACGAACCAGAGTATGAGTTGTACTGTTCAGTCATCAACGGACTTACGAGATGATGTCGACTTATTAATAATTTCAGTTATTTCGGATTAATTGATGGTTGAAAGTTTTCTACTATTTTTTTTACATATCCGAGTTCTCTACAAAGCGAGTTCCGCTACTCTGGACTCAGCACACTGAGACCTTTGCGCTGCTCGATACTGGCTACCGCCCTCATTACGACCCCCCCTCTCCTGGCGGCCAAATACGACCCCCCTATGGGGATTCCTCAACCAATGATGTGCCCTGCTTCAGTGACCTCAGTGACTAATGCTGCTTCATATCGATTATTGTAAGTCACAGCGACCGACCTGTATCTCATGCTTGAAGCAACCACTTGTTCTTTTGGTTAGTCCAATAGTATTGACAGCTGCCTTGGCAAACTCTTCCGGCGTGGCCACGAATAATGAGCCTTCCTGAAACCTGTTGGATATTCTTTCAACAATTTTCTTTTCTAAGTTGAGCGGTCTCACTAATGCAATATCTGAGGTGGATACTACATTTGCTAACAAACCGGAAGTATGGTAAAAGGTAGAGTCTCTTTCAAAAAGATCTATCAGAAACTTTCACGCTCACTGTGCACCGAGCGGCACGATAGACCTTATTGTTGGATCCCCGTGAGGCCTAGTCACGAAGAAATCAGCGACTGTTTGGGAGAGTTACCAACATATCAGTAAAATCCCACCAACCTCTAAGTGCACCATTTTAGTGGCGACGAACGCCGGAATGAGGCATTGAACAGAGATTGTTTTATATTCCCAGTCGATGGTTTCGCTCAGGAACAAGAGCAGTGACTGAAATAGGTCGGTTGTCATTTCTCCATTGCAGAAAATCACTTCCTTCTTGTAATAATGATTGCCTTATCGCAATGAATGATTTTGAAAGATTTCGCAATTGTCTAAAAGTGGAAGTCCTCCCGCTCGCAACCCTGATCTGCAGCCTCATAAAGCGTTCCACATTCGTTGGTCATGCCAGGGGGTGGCAGGAACTTGAAAAGGGTCTGCAGCTCTGTTCTGTCTCCTATGTATATTCGTCTACTCGTCTTCTTTAAGATGTTCTCGAAGCGCAAACGCCGAGCGTGCTCTGCCGGTGTGTTTTCTCATTTCATATCCAGAATGTGATCAATCTTCTCAATTGTTACTCCTTCACACACCTTTTTTCTCCAAGAAACTCAAACTCGCACTTCAAGAGGCCATAGAACTATTAATCACATTTTATTTCCTGGTGCAAACCAGTTTTACGAGATTGGTTATGGAGTTTAACGACGTTTTATTTTACCTTTGTGGCTGAGTATACCGCTAGAAACCGAGAGGGCATCAGCGCTTGAGCGGAGGAGACCTGCGACAATCTGACCTCCACCGCCTCTTTCCATTGGTCCAAGCACCATCGACAGGAACTGAATCGAGTAGGTTAGAAGTAGTGAAACTTTGCATGCTATCGGCCTGAGAAAAGTGGTCATCGTGCACAGTCCTTTCGGGCAATGGGAATAACAGTATGATAGGCCACATTGATACCTTAATGATACTAGTTTTACTTTTGTGCCAACGCTGCAATGAGCGGTTGATTGCAATCATAACTTTTCTTCTGCAGATGATGCGATCCGCAATCGGCAAACAACCAGTTATATAAACTAGTCACTGGACCCACGAAAAGACAAAAATTGGTCCTTACAAGGTCACAGTGCTTGAAAACAAACAAATATACGCTCCATATCACAGAGATGGGGAATCTCTAACGCGCTCTTCATTTGAAGGCAAGTAGCACGATAAGTCCCCAAGACAAGAGCGCAGGATATATGCCCTAGCAAGACAGCATTTGGCGCCCCTGAGCAGGTGCGGCGTGGCCTCTTTTCCAAAAGAGCTACGTTTATGGCCCCTATCAAGCCACAACGAACCGACTCGGACGCCCACTGCATCCGCTCCCTCCGCAGACGTCGTCCGATGCTGATGCTCGCTACGCTTCATAAGCGAATTACAATATCAAGCGAAGCGATTGACATGAACGGCTGCGATGCTGCATGAATATGTGGATGCGTACATGTAGCCGTATCGAGCGTGGCGGTTGTTGGCACGATGCCAAGAGACGTCCGAAATTGCATTCTGATCATGTAAAACAAATGTCTTTTTGCGAGTTTCACCGTTTCACTGCGCTTTTCCGCAATTTCTCAACTATTTAGCACCTCTGCTACCATTATAGACCGAACCCTAAATTATCATGTCTTGTGCCGTTCAAAGTGGCGCTTTCGGAGGGATATGACAGGATAACACTTGCATCAAATGAAAATATCCCACGAACAACGCATCCTACGCTATGCTCAAGTTGAGTACGCTCACTCCATCGCCGGAATATGGAGTGTACCTAGGAGAGGTGGGGGTTGTGTGAAGAAGGACTTCTGAATACACAAACCTTTTTTTATGAAGAAAAATCATTGAAAATGAAATTGAATGACTATGGTAAAAGATTGAGTAAATGAGAAATGTTGACGAGGTCGAAAGCAATGAATATCTCAGCTCCCACCTTCGTGAAAACAGAAAACCACTTTTTAACAGAGCACTACGTTCACCCATCCACCCCAGTGCCCCTTACTCCTAGGATTAGGCCATATCCAATCACCTGGCTCACAATTTTTCACCTTCCAAGACAGGACGCTTTGCTTTAGTCGGAAATGTCTAATTGCAATCAATCGCTCTCAGGGCACATCATTAGTTGGGGATTTTGGTTCGAGTCCATAGGATTATGGGGAGGGGGTATCAAAAATGCCAGAAGGCTAATACGGCCCCTCCCTCTTTCCTATCAACGAGCAAATACGACCTTCCCCCCTCTATAACTCCTTTAAATAAGAAAAACCAACTATCAAAAAAAATTTTTTTCTCAGACCAAATACGACCACCCCTTCCCCCAGCGACCAAAGACGACCCCCTTGGTGGAGAATCCCCAACAAAGATTTGCCGAGTGAAAAGTAACATCAGTACATCAACGGGCGTGTCATATCTTCTGTGCCCACTGTTTGGCAGGATTGCGTACAGGCGCACCCCTCCCCTCAGACGAATAGCGCCAAATTTTGTCACATAATTCACGAAGCGATCAAGAGGAAATTCTCCGTTGCGCACCTCAGCTGTTCCGAGGGCGTTTACATTGAGGATTTGTCGATCTTCCTCTGGTTTATCGCCCGAAGCGGTCCATATTTTCCCAGAAACGCCAACGCTGTTCACTTAAAATAGCAAATGGACTGTGGAGATATTACCAAAGTGTTTTTTGAACCCCACAGACAAATCCGATGTCGATCTGTGAAATATACTCTCGAAGTTTGTCGTAGTCATCCTCGTCAAAATCGAAGAGATACGTCCTGACACTGCAGCCGTATGTCTGTTCTGGAAATGACAGTATGTTGTTCTACCAGAAAAGACGATCCAACAGTTTCTGAGGGTGCTTCATTGTAAGTGGAGGAAAGCTTGCTCTTCATTTCTCACCTGAGTTCTCTCAAACCTGTTCCCTTACCAAGAAGCGATTTCAAGTCATCCAGTTTGGTTTGATTTCGTCCGATGAGTACGAATTTCTTCAAACTCTTCTTTGCTAACTCAATCGTGTACGCTTTTCCAATACCGTCGGTTCCTCCGGTCACCACTGCAATTTCACTTTCACTTTGCAGGCGATTGTTCAATAATTGAGCCTTTCTATTCGTCCTGAACTCAGAACGTCCTGATTTGTTCAGGGAGCACCACAAAAAAAGTATTCCACAGACTGGTTCGAAAGCGTAATTAGTTGCTGTGAAACCATTGGACTGTTACTTCGCATCGCACTTTCTTTTTTTCGAGAACTAAGGTCAGCGAAACGACAGAAATTCACCTGTCCATCGATTCGCGTACTTCATGAGGTTCGGCTTATAGAACAACGGCGCGATCAAGTAAACGAAAATCGCCTTGATCAGTGCTACAATCGTCCTGAATGCATTTAGTAGTTATGCCTTGGAAAGGATGGACGTGAAGCTTGGTAATGGTGAACGGAAGACATGATTGACAGGCTTGCTCACCGACATAATCTGTACCCGACATAGATGTAGAGGATGACAAGCAGCATGATGTAAACTGTTCATGAAAGGGGTGTGTCTTGCAATGCTGCCTGCCATTTGAAGAACACCCAGCAGTGTAACATGCGGGGCAGTAGCGATGATGCAGGTTGATCACATTAGAACGAAAAGTTCACTGGGTTTCCCTCAGAAAACCCGTTGATAGCACTGATCCTGTTCTCCTTAAAGACAGTACAGTTACACATGCATGCCTTGGTTCAAAACTCCATATATTGGTTAAGGGCAAAGCCCACGATCATTCGCCATCACGGATAGTGGATTAGGGGTTGCATATAGACGACAAGGTGCTGAGTAACTCGATAGTGAAGAAAAAGCAGAAAAAAAACATGCCAACTGCCCTAGATGGAACCCATTTCGATCCCAGTTTGTACGTGCCCAATGAACTCCATCTCCAACACTACGCCCTCATCCGCACAGCTGAGCCACCGATAAGAACTCTACGATCGTACAAGTGACGATTTTCATGCTTTTTCGTCCTGCAGCTTCGTTTTCACTGGAAGGCGGACTTTGGAGGCGGAGTCACTGGGAAAAACGAGGCGTCACTTGACCTAGACTGCATTATAGCCCCTCTGTTGCAATTTTTTGTCGTGAAACTGGTACAAGTTTGTTCCTCGTGGACCACGTTACCCTGCCAACGCCATAGTTTCAACGTCTATACCTGATCGCGGACCATGCCTTTAAAATAGGTTTGGATCGAAACAGTAATGACTGTTGAAGGTGTGAAGAGAGTGGTTGCATAGTTTATAAAGTCGCAATCGGTCGGGGAGGTGACCGCGGTGGATGGGGGACTAAGCCCGCCTTCCGGCTGCCTTGTTCTACCAATAGTGGGCGGTCAGTGATTGATGTAGGAAGAAAAGAACCAGTTGTGGAAATGCCGTGGGTGGACTCACTCTATCCCGCTTGAAATGGCCCGACTGACTGCAATGCTATCCATGATGCCGGAACCGGTACATACACCGGTTCGTGTGCAAGCAGAGCGATGCTGTGCTGTGCACCGAACTCTCCTTGCACACGAACCTGCTCTATGTCGTGTGAAAGTATGGACAAGTTGTTCCGTGATATTCGCACAAACGCGAGGTTCCCATATTGGAAACGTATATCACTGCCGCTATCAACGTATTAACTGTATATCACTTCCCTTGAGATCACAAATGAATGCTCTTCTTCATTTCAAAAGTTTCCCTACCCTTCAGCTTTTACAAAATCACTGTGTGGATATCTATAAGTGTAAGTTGTAAGTGAAAAATCATTAGGTCTTCTCATTCGTGCAAGTGCAGACATATAGAGGAATGACAAGAAAATAGAGGGCTACGGAGGTGGGCTCCTATATCGCTTGGATCTGACACATTTTGTCATTTACCTAGGTAATCGTGAGAGCCACAGGTGAAAAACCTGAAAACTTGGAAAGAAACCTGAGTGGTTATAATCAGCGGTGCGCTATCGGGATGGAAAAACAAACAGGAAAAAGCTATGCTGCATTTTATCCTGTACTGCACCAGGGGTAGCGTAGAGTTCTTGAAATGGAATGTGGAAGACTTATTTTAAAAGACCAAAGAGGGAAAAACGAAAAGAAGTTGTAGCCGAGGAGGGCACCATAATGTACAAAGAAAAAAGGGTGGATGAAGCCAAGCGTTGAGTGTCTAATCACAAAGGCTGGTCCATTGTCGAGCTTCCTCGATTGACATTCCTTCTGCGACCGGTGGAGAAGTTACGCCCTATAAATCGAGGATGGGTACCTCATTTTCTTGTAAAAGCAGCGAGGTAGAACATACGATGATCAGATGATAGTACTGCCTCGTGGCAAATGTTACGACGTTTGTCGATCGCTGAAACTATAATATTAGGTTGTTCGAAAAGTCCTGCGACACTTTGATTGAATTGTTCTAGAAAAAGACCAAAAATCATTTTGGATGTTTTTATCCCTGATTAGTGGAGACTGTCCTCTGGGGTTTCTGCACATGGGTATATCATGACTTTGTGGAAGTTTTCAAAGCTTAAAAGTCCCTCAGAGATCGAGGTACTTTTCGACGAGTTCCTGTAGGGCCACTCCGCCGTAGTCGAGGAAGCTGACACCTACGTTGTCTTGAGGAAGGATATCGCTTGCCATGGCAGAGGGTAGCTTTTGCATCAGCGCTTCCAGGCTGGACTTATTTAACTCTCGTAGTTAGGCAATGTATAGGTCGCCCACCAGCACAGAATGACGGCCCTTTACTCAAGCTTCTTGAGGCGCAGCCGAACGTAACCAGTTGGCAACCTCTCTAGGCTCCACCTGACTGACAACTGCCATGCTTCTCCGCAATCTCGGTTATCGGAAAAAAATTTTTGTGAAGGATGCCTCATGAGTTGGACCCGTCTGACAAGTCATACCGAATGACCGTGACTGAGTTTTCTTTTCCTTGTACACAGCGAAAGAACTTTTGTGAGATCTTGTGGTTGGTAGCGAGTGTTGGAGTCCTTGCGTACATCATGCACATGTCCCTCGCAGGATCTCTCAAACAGAGTAGATTGCTTAGCCAAAACAGATGTGCATGGGATAAAGATTTCAGTGTTATTGGTGGGACTTCAAAGCGGTATCACTGGATACCAGCACCGTTGTAAGGACCACAGTCCACCTTAATCGACTTCAAAATATGGATGACGTCACGCTTGAATTCATTCAGAAATACTCAATTTTTCTCTACTACTCGGCAATGCGAAGACCGCATGTGGGGATCAGGCTACGCCAAAAGATCATGGATTTCGATCAGAGAATGCGACCGTACCCAGGTTATTTCAACAAAGTTAGCAGCCTCTAATTATCACCTCCTTTGGTCCCTATCGCATCCTTTAAAAAGCAAAAATTCCGAAAATCGACCTCAACTCGAGAATGAGGTCCACCTCTTCTTTTTATCATAGTTGCCGTAGTTCTATGAGAATGGAAATGAGAAGCTGTGCAAAAGAAGGGCACTAGTCCTAGTCATCAACTGCGGTTACCTTGTAGATTGGAGATGTCTTTTAGTGACGGAAAATTTAATCCGAAAGTTTGGTCAAAGTGTCGCAACTTTTCGAACAACCTAATAGCATTCGTTTCTCAACACCAGCGCAAATTAGCGCTCTGCTAAGGCTGAGCCGGCAGAAGAAGAGACGATTTTGATGGAAAAGGTTGTGGCGCCGAATTGGCGCACATTGACTCCAAATCCGCCAACGCCAGAATGCGCATCATATTTGTGAACCCTTGATTAGCCCAAGGCAGGCTTGCAGAAATTTCGTTGAAAAGGGTGGCGGCGCCAAATTGCCTCTCAACGCCAAAGAACTCCATTTACGAGAGCGAACGTCAGTCGTGATCACGGCATCAAACAACCTACGTTTTCATAGATTTTATTGAAAAAGATGTTGGCGCCAAATTGGTGTCTGTTGGCGCTAAATGGCGCCAGCGACAATAATCACAGAACAACCCGGTAAGCAATGTTCAGCGGAATTTTTTTTGAGCTTTCGAATCCCTAATAGTGCAATAGTGCTGATCAGAGCGACACGAGATTAGTATTAGTTCCCCAATGTTATTAGACAGCAAGTACAACTTTTAGTCGCCACTGTTGGTGTAAAGTAAAAAGTGACGTCAAATTACCCTATCACACCTTCTGTTGGAAAGTTGAATAGTGCAAACATGGAAGAGACGGGTCAGTGTTAACCAGTTGGGAGCAGGTTTTCGCCCGCACTCGGCTCACACTTATACCAAAGGGACAAGGTACATGCATACACTCCTTATCCCTGAGCCAGAGTAGGCGTGGCATTTGAACATGGCACGGAACTGGTTACTCGTGGAATATTCCAGTCTGGGACAACTGTCATCTTGTTCTGTGTTGGACAGAGACACGACAACAATTGTGTCAAGATGAAAATATCTCACCAGAAGCATAGACACCTTCAGGTTAAGTTGAAACATGCGGCCACGCCTACCCGATCTCAGGGATTTCGAGTATACGTCACAGGCAACCGCAGGTCCACAGCCAAGCGCCTATTTTTCACGTGAAAGCGAAAGAGAAGGATTCTACGAGCTTATGACGTAGTATGCCTTCTATCCGAGACGTTCCCCTCCCCGTCCACCTCAGACTCGTGACTGATTTCGATAGGAGAGGGTATGACAATATGATAAGGATCTCAATTGCGAGCGCATTCTCTTCGTCGTATGCTCGTACAACTTTTCGTACGGTTCTCGGAGTGAGAAGGGGTCATATTCTGAGAGTTCTCTGCGGCTTCTTGAAATTTTTTCTCACGAATGTGCCACTCCATCTTCAGAGTTGAACGCCAGCAGCCTTAATTCCTGTTGCGTAGTGCTTGCAAAGCGCTGGTTATCTTTGGCCCTATTCAGTATTCCCAAAAATTCAGAAACTTCTTCTGGTGGACTTCGCCTATAAGGGTACTTCGACGTGCGACGCAAGTATGAAATCAGTTTCTAAAGCTGGCACCATTTGCCACCACAATTTGGAGCCCATCACTTTTCTCACCAAAATCGGTGTAAACTCACATACTGGGCTCATTCGGTATCCTGATCACGAAAATGGCATCCATTGGGCGCTATAAGGGGCTAAACCGCATCAGCAGAGCAGATGACGGTAGTTTCTTCCGTTAGCGGAGTGATGAATGCGTGAACAGGATGTCTCACCCCTGTACACATGTTTTCATTGATTTTGGTGATTTACGGTGTCTTGGGGCCGACGTCTGTGGCGCTGGCGTCGGGTACTCTCAGACCGAGCGGATCTGGTTTTTGTGTTCAGCAGATCAAACTACCCCGTGGACAAGTTTTCAGCAAAGTTGGTGATTTGAAGCTTTTGATGCCTGCGCCTGTGGTGCAGGCGCTAGGCAGCTCCAGGTCAAGCGAATGTGATGTTTATGTTCAGGAGGTCGAACAACTCATAAAACCGAATTTTCGACCAAAGCTGCCCACGAAGTAAAAATTTGGTCAAAAACTGGCCTGTTTTCGGATGAATGGGGTGGTAGTAGTTGAATGTGC